ATTAAATACCTTCCGAATGTGCAGGTTCACTGTGGTTTGCCGGAGACAAGAGCTGCTCCCAGCTCAGTCTAGACAGTCTAGATCTGTTCAAATCCATCGTGCTGCTGCGCCACCGACAGAAGGTTTAAATAACCTCGGAGTTAGATGTGAAGGGGCACAGGCACACAGGTGTCCTCTGGAACCCTGAGCCAGAGCTACAAAGATGCCTCCGAATGATCGTCTGAATGTTGTGTTTGCTGTGCGCAGGAACGGTGAGGACTGAAATTCCTCTGCCAGCCCCCGGCCTCCTCTGTGAATTTACACACATTCAGAGAAGTGGGAGCTGAAGTCTGTCAGGCTCAGAAGATACCTGGTCAAGGAGTGCCTGCAGGCTGACATTTCCACCCCCTTGAGATGGCCCTCGAGTACTTGGATAGATACTCAGGATGCTTCGATGGCCCTCAGCACCTCTCTCTTCACATAGCTGTGTATTATTAGCAGCACTCGTTACTGCACTGCTCTTGATGCCCCTCATGCAGGACAGAAAACAGATGGAAGTGTGCAGGAGGCTGAGCAGCTGCCAAATGAAACTGCAGGGAGTGAAAGGCTGAGTCAAGAGCTGAACACAGGCTGCCTGCTCTCAGGCTCACGTCCATGAGGTTAGAAGGGAACACCCTTCTAACCTCACCCTTATCAGCATCCTGCCTTCCCCTCTGCTCCCGGCCCCATCCACTTCTGAGTGTTCTGAGTGGTATAAGGAATATTTTTAAGTATTCAGCCTACTCCAATGGAGGTGGCAGATATCTCATTCTCTCTTATCTTTAATAAGCGAAGAGGTGGCAACTCGTGGCAGGAAAAGACAAAAGCAACCAAGCTTTTGTTATAAAGTGTTCCAAAATAAAAGGCTCAATAGCCCTAAAAGAAACCTAAATATTTCTTCGTAGGTTGCCAGATTTTAACTCGACAATATTCTATACATGCAGGACAAAATGGTGCTGGTGTAGCCTTTTCCAGGTGACTTTGCTGAGCTGATACCTGATTCACAGGAGACTCTCAGGTGACCAAGACAACCCTTTTAAGACAACCTAAGCAGCGTGACAACCACACAGTCGCTGCCCACAGTAGCAGACCCTGCAGCACATCTTCCTCCTAGTCCCCAGGTTTCACTGGAAATTGTCCCTCCAGCCCCACGGCCTTGCCCGCTCCCGAGCACCCGCTGCAGCGGAGCTCAAGCGACCCGGAGAGGCGCCGTCAGCTCGGGAGGGATGCCGAACCGCCGGGGAGGGGAGGCATAAAATGACACCGCAAAACTACAAATGCTTCATAACAAATGGAAGCAAAACGACACGTAACCGCGAGACAATCCAAGGGATCGGCGCACAAGCCCGGGCAGGAGGCGGTGGGCGCTGCCGGCCCCGCCCCGG